GGTGGCTCAGGACCCCGCCAGGTAGATCCCTGTGGAAGAAGGTGATGAGGAAGGGGGGTGTGTGAGGATGGGGGGCACGTGCCTGGGGCGAGGAAGGTCACTGCAGAGGGGCCAGGGCTCGATGCTGAGACCCCAAACTGGGCTATCCACCCCCCCCTGCCCTGCAAGGATGGGCATCGCTGGGGGGCATCACCCAGTGAGGAGGGGAACGGGGCTTGGGGTGGTAGGGAGGGGACCACCATGCACCCCGGGGCCATGGGAGATGGGGAAGGGACCCCATGCACCCTGGGGAAGGGACCTCATGTACCCTGGGGAAGGGACCTCATGCACCCCAGGACCATGGGGAGCTGGGGAAGGGACCCCATGTACCCCGGGACAGGGACCTCGTGCACCCCAAGGCCATGGGGAGCTGGGGAAGGGACCCCATGCACCCCAGGGAGTGGGGAAGGGACCTCGGGCACCCCAGGGCCACAGGGAGCTGGGGAAGGGACCCCATGTACCCTGGGACAGGGACCCCATGCACCCCAGAACCACGGGGAGCTCAGGAAGGGACCCCAGACACCCCAGAGAGTGGGGAAGAGACCCCATGTACCCCAGGACATGGACCCCATGCACCCCAGGGAGTGGGGAAGGGACCTTGGGCACCCCAGAGCCACAGGGAACTGGGGAAGGGACCCCAGGCACCCTGGGACAGGGACCCAATGCACCCCAGGGCTGTGGGGAGCTGGGGAAGGCACCCCATGCGCCCCAGGGAGTGGGGAAGGGACCCCATGCACCCTGGGGAAGGGACCCCATTCACCCCAGGGAGTGGGGAAGGGACCCCATGCGCCCCAGAGCCATGGGGAGCAGGGAAAGAACCCCATGTACCCCGGGACAGGGACCTCGTGCACCCCAAGGCCATGGGGAGCTGGGGAAGGGACCCCATGCACCCCAGGGAGTGGGGAAGGGACCCCATGTACCCCGGGACAGGGACCTCGTGCACCCCAAGGCCATGGGGAGCTGGGGAAGGGACCCCATGCACCCCAGGGAGTGGGGAAGGGACCTTGGGCACCCCAGAGCCACAGGGAACTGGGGAAGGGACCCCAGGCACCCTGGGACAGGGACCCAATGCACCCCAGGGCTGTGGGGAGCTGGGGAAGGGACCCCATGTGCCCAGGGAGTGGGGAAGGGACCCCATGTACCCCAGGACAGGGACCCCATTCACCCCGGGAGTGGGGAAGGGACCTCATGCACCCCAGAGCCACGGGGAGCTGGGGAAGGGACCCCATGCCATGTACCCCGGGACAGGGACCCCAGGCACCCCAGGGCTGTGGGGAGCTGGGGAAGGGACCCCAAGCACCCCAGGGAGTGGGGAAGGGACCCCATGTGCCCCAGGACAGGGACCCTATTCACCCCAGGAGTGGGGAAGGGACCTCATGCACCCCAGAGCCATGGGGAGCTGGGGAAGGGACCCCAGGCACCCCGGGACAGGGACCCCATTCACCTCAGGGAGTGGGGAAGGGACCCCATGTACCCCAGGACAGGAACCTCCTACACCCCAGAGCCA